TCTGTCTCTGTCTCTGTCTCTGTCTCTCCCTCTCTTTCTCTCACTTTCTTGTACCACTACTGGCACTTGAGCTAAAAAGATCAAGGCTCACACTTGACCACTTGAGCGACAGCTCCTTTTCCAGCTTTTTGGTTGTTAATTAGAGATAAAAGCTTCACAGACTTTCCTGCCTGGGATGATTTTAAACTCTGACCCTCAGATCTCAGCTTTCTGAGCAGCTAGCGTTACAGACATATGCGCTAGATCTGGATTTGAATTTCAGTTTGGTCATTTACTAGGTCACTTCACTGAACTCCATTTCAGAAAGTCTATAGAATAATAGGCATATCATTATTTCATAGAATCTTAAGACTACAACAACCATAGGACCAAGCTCCATTACAGACTCTATAATAAGTGAAGAATGTCCAAGTGGGACGGTAAAATGCACTTGTAAGTCACTGTGTTAAGCAAATGGCAGAATCCATGATGCGATGACACCGGCTAAGAATTCCCTACTTGAAAGGTGTGCAGCCAAACCACCTCCGACTCTGAAGTATGTCTGTGGACAGTGCTGGTGAAACTTCCCCAAAGCAAACCCCACAATTCACCACACAACATGACATGAGTTTAGATTTTGCAGCAATGTGGACTTCAGACTTACAGATTAGGGATATGCAGCCAGTGTGGAACTTCATGAGACAGTGTAGGCAAGTCTTCACAGACTAAGTATGCAATGAAATGTGTCCTCGATATTTGGATTTGGTGACCAAGCGAGGCCAAAGGATATCCCTGTCTCATGTTGCTATCACGTAGGGGAATGAACTAGAAGATTCTAGAAGCTCTCATGCAGGGGTTAGGTACAAAAGGAGACCTCAAGTGCACACTTCAGTATCGAGCATGCACAAAACAGAAAAGATAGGGGAAATAGTGTCCTATTGATTCTGTGGATGGAGACTCAATTACAGGAAGTGATTTCCCCAATCTCCCGGGCCAGGGAAATATTTTAAAAGGGCGTTGCTCAAGTGTCGGGTTGAAATCCTACTTTGAAATTGGAACGGAGGGACAAACACTTCTAGAATATTTTGCTAGTGTTTCAGGTGTTTGTCGTTTTTCTTCACACATATCACCAGTTCCTTCTAGGTCACTCTCTATCATCGTTGCATTGATAGCCAGGCAGCCTATGCGTGAAATCTCTATGCAGCCTCCGTGAGGATGTCAGTTTCCATTTAGGCCCAGGGGGTCTGGGGAGGGGAGAAGAGGTGCCAAGAAGAGGTGTCTGTCAACTCTTCCACCTGCCTCCAGAAGCGGCTGGTTCCTGGCTGGTTTAGCCTGGGCCTTATGCCAAGGAACAACCATTTATTGCCTTTGTCTTTTGCCAAAGACAAGGCTGGCTAAACACTGTTGTGGGAAGAGAGATGAACTGCAGCAAGTGAAGAATGTGTGCTGTGGGCAACGGCCACTAAGTGCCTACTTCTTTCCCAGAGTTTGGGCTCCAGGGCACAATCTGAGGCCTCCCGGATGGCAGTGTTGTGTATATGAATGTGTTCAAACCACAGCCGCGTGAACGAGCTACCTACAGCTTTCCCCAAAAGCTAGTCACAATGGCTCTCCAACAGCAACAAGCATGCTTGGATTTTTCTTTCTTTCTCTTCCCTTCTTTCCTTCTTCCCTTCTTCCCTCCCTCCCTCCTTTCCTTCCTTCCTTCCTTTTTTTTTTTTTGTGAGTCGTGGGTCTTGAACTCTGGACCTGAGCACTGTCCCTCAGCTCTTCAGCTCAAAGTGAGCACTCTACCACTTGAGCCACAGCGCCACTTCTGGTTTTCTGGTGGTTAATTGGAGATAAGAGTCTCATGCACGTTCCTGCCTGGGCTGGCTTTGAACCGCGATTCTCAGATCTCAGCCTCCTGAGTAGGTTAGGATTACAGGCATGAGCCACCAGTGCCTGGCTTCAATTTATTCTTGACATACATGGGTGATGAGAAAGGATGAATAGGAGTTTGATAAGAGAGTTTATCTACCTGGTTGGGTTGGCTTCTTCAAAGAAAAGGAAATAATAGGATGGTTGTGTGTGTGTGTGTGTGTGTGTGTGTGTGTGCGCGCGCGCGTGCGCCAGCACTAGGGCTTGAACTCAGGGTTTGGGCACTGTCCCTTAGTATTTTTTTTTTTTGCTCAAGGCTGGTGCTCTACCACTTGAAGACAAGAATCCCACAGACTTTTCTGCTCAGGTTGGCTTTGAACCATGATACTCAGATCTCAGCCTCCTGAGTAGCTAGGATTACAGGCGTGAGCCACCAGTGCCTGGCTCAAACATTGGCTTTATTAATGCTACAGATCCAGCCTCTTTCCCAGTAGCCCAGAAGCTCAAATCTCAATATTGAGGTAAACTATACTCACTATTTAATAAAGAAAACCAATGTTTAACTTGCCCAGGGCTTTTGATATAAGTTACAAAGACATCTTTTCTGGCAGGTCGAGAGCGGCCTTCCCTCCCTTCACTGTGGGCATCTGACCCAGGCACACAGTCTACATTGCTCTTTGGCACTTTCTGACCTGCCTAGCCTTGAACATGGCAAGCTAAATCCACCAGAATACATTACTGCACCACAGAATGCAGAGTTTATCATATTTGTGACTATGATCCCTTGCATACAGATTGAAAAACCATGTATATTGGCGCAGGCTTGCCTTCCATTACTAATTAGTGTATTTCATTAATGCTGCCACAGTTTGATTTTGATTGAGTTAGATTTTTTTTTAAGTATTGGGGACAGAACCTATGGCCTTGCACATGCTAACACTACCACTGAGCCATATCCTCAGCCTTAGATAATTTTTTTTTAAAGAGTATAACCTTATATTACTTGGGGGGAAGCAACTTTCTGCCTTATTCTTTTGGGGGTAAAGATGGTCATTTGATCCCTCCAAGGAAAACGGTGCTGACCAACGGCTGCAGCAACTGGAATCTGCCTCCCATTTTCCTCTCTTCCCTCCCTCCCTCCCTTCCTCCCTCCTTCCCTCCCTCCCTCCCTCCCTCCCTCCTTCAGTTCCACATGGCTTGTGCCAGGTAGAACCCACTGCTATGGTCTCAGACTATATGTTCTGCACAGCACCTGCTTTCCCACTTGAAGCCCTGGTCCTGTGAAGGCAGAAGTGTCCTGGACTTGACTTCTTTATTGGATAAACTATGGGGATCATTTCAGGACACCCCATCTCTGCCATCCGCCTTTCCACACTTTAGGGGAAATAGGCTAAGAAGCAGGCTTACACTCTTTTCCTATGTGTCAGCACCCTGCAAGTCCGAAGACGATGAACCCTTCTTTAGAACAATTTTAAGTGTTTCCAGTAAGACACGTAGACTTTAAGAGAAACCCATTAGGATACAGGGTCAAAAACTTAAAACCTGGGGCTGGGAAGGTGGCTCAGTGGTAGAGCGCTTGCCTTGCATGCCTGAGGACCTGGGTTCGATTCCTCAGGAGCACATAAGCAAAAAGAAAAAAGCCGGAAGTGGCGCTATGGCTCTCAAGTGGTAGAGCGCTAGCCTTCAGCTGAAGAGCTGAGAGACAGTGCCCAGGCCCAGAGTTCAGGCCCCACAACCGGACCCAAAACAAAAAAAAAAACCTTAAAACCTTTTTCTCATATAAAATACCTACGGAAAAAAAAAATAAAATACCTACGAACTTTAATATAAAGATCAAAGAAGAGGCAGCAATAGTGACTCTAGTAAAGACTGTAATTTTGGAGTATTGATAAGAGGCATTTCCTTCCTGGCGTGGGTGGCTCCTGCCTATTATCCAAGCTACTCAGGAGGCTGAGATCTAGAAGACTATGGCTCTGGGCTCAGCTTGGATTAGAAAAGTTCATTTGACTCCATCTCTAAAATAGCCAGCAACATGCAGGGCGGGAGGCATGGCTCAAGTGGTTGAGCATCGGCCTAGAGAGACACTGTGTTCAAACCTCCGTACGTTAAAAAAAAAAAGGCTATGTTTCGAGACAAAACACAAAAGGCTGCCACCCTGCAAAGTGACACAGAAGTCCTGTGGTTACTGCCGTGGCAGGTGTGGAGGCTGGCACTGCCAAAATCATGGAAGGCGGCACTGTTCAACTAGAGGTGAGAGGTCACACAAGAACATGCTCCCTACAGGAGACCCTGGGCCTAAACTTAAGAGCCACAAGATGAGTCACGGGGTTCTTGGTGTGGTGGCTTGGCGCACTCGGGGTCTGGTGCTCAGCCCTTTCTGCCTCAGTGGCAGAGAGGTGCACACAGAAGTCCGAGGCGGACACCGCACAGGGGCTTCTGTGCTCTCCTCCCTGTGGAGGGGTGAGGGGAAAGGGAGCCAGCTGGGAACAGGCAACCCTTGATCGCTGGGACATAAGAGGCCAAGGCTGAAGGTACCCCATTTTGAGGTTTGGGGGGGTGCTGGGAGATGGGTGTCTATTGTGTTTCCTAGCTTGGGAAAAGAGAAACATTTCCTTCTCCCTTTGCAAAAGCTTTGAGCACACCCACCTCCAGCACTAGTATCCCGAGTCTGCTGCCCTTTCCAGAATACGCGTGGAGTGGGGGCACTGTAGACAGCCCCTGGACATTCTTTCCCCCCTTTCTGTTCCTCCTATTGGCATTTGAATGGAACTGACGCTGCACATAGCTTTCACTTTGCGCCTCATTTGAGATGCATGCGCGTTAGGAGGTGCAAGAGCGTTCCACAGCACTTGCAAGTATGACCCGGTGAACCCGCTTGCATGGCTAGGGCAGCCGGAGCTGTCGTTGAAAAGCATCAGGGCAAAGGAAAATGTCCTGTTTGGGATGCTTGAACTCAAGCCCACACGAAGACCAGAAGAAAGCAAGAGGAAAGCAAGTGCTTTTCCTGACGGCTGTGGCATGGCTGGAGGCCCTGTCAAAGCAGCCTCCTTGGCAGGACCGCCTCTCGAAGCAGACCTCGCTGGCCAGGGAGGGGGTTGGGGAGCATTTGCACAGGGTGACCCGGTTTTCCCCAGGAGAATGGGACGAGGAGGGAGGCTCACCGATTTTACTCCGTGCTTCATTGATGCTTTCTCCCAGGGCCTTTGCTTCAGAAAACCTGAAGGAAAAAAGCAAAGAAAAAGAACAAGAAAGAAAAAGGTTACTTTTTCTGTTCGCCCAACATTATGTTTAAAAGTAAAGATTTTGGAGCGATCTTTAATATAGTATAAAACCTTATTAAGGGACATAAGAGAAAAATCGATGTCAGTGAAAATTATTAGGCTTAACGAGAGAGAGAACATTTGAATTCGCATAGCTATCACGCAAGTGTAGAATTTTTTATCCTTAAATGGTCTAATTTGTGAGTTTTGATTTTGTTTTGTATTATTTATTTATTTATGGTTGGCCATGGGGCTTGAACTCTGAGCCTGGGCGCTGCCCTTGAGCTTTTCAGCTCAAGGTGAGCATTCTCCCACCTGAATCACAGTGCCACTTCCGGTTTTCTGGTAGTTAATTGGAGGTAAGAGTCACACGGACTTTCCTGCCAGGGCTGGTTTTGAACTGCAATCCTCAGATCTCAGCCTTCTGAGTAGCCACTGTTGCCTGGCTTGATTTCAGTTGTATAATGCGATGTGATCTACTGAGCATGCAACTAAGTATTCTTTTATTTTATTTTTTATTTTTTGGTGGTATTAAGAATTGAATCCAGAGGCTTAGGCTTGCTGTGCCAACAGCACTGATTATTATTATTTTTTTAATTTAATTTAATTTGTTTTTTGTGAACATACTGTGCAGAGGGGTTACAATTACATGGGCAGGATAATGCGTACATTTCTTATCAAGCATTGCAGCCTCCTCCTTTGTTTACCCTTCACATCCCTTCCCTACCTCCCCCCTCCCCCCCAACCCTCCCCCCCCTCCCCCGCCCGCATCAATGTTGTAAAGCTCATTTTCGACATGACCTTGTACTTGATTATTTTTGAACTAGGTTCTCAGCAGGTACCTGGATTGTGATCTTCCATTTACATTTCTCACAAAGGTAGGAAAACCTTGTCCAGTTTGGTTGAAAAGGGTTCTCATGAACTTTTTGGCCAAGCAGGCCTGGAACTGTGATCCTCAGATCTGTCTCTTAAGTAGCTAGAGTTAGAGGCATGAGCTACGAGCATCTGGCTTTTCTTTGGGGTGGGGGATAAGGATTACAGGGTTTTGAACTGAAGGCCTTGTGCTTGCTGGGCAAGCATTCTATCATTTGAGTCATATCCCAAGACCTTTTTGCTCTAGTTATTTTTGAGATAGGATCTTGCCCTTCAGTCCAGGCTGGCCTCAGATAGCTATCTTTCTATTTCTAGTAGAAAGATATTCCTCATGCACAGCTGGGGTTATGGATATGGTCCAGTATGCCTGGATGGTTATGCCGTAATGAACCTCACTGGCTTTCCCCTCAGCTGTTGCCTCAAGTGGTGATCCTTTTGATCTTTGCTTCTTGAGTAACTGAGATTACAGGCATGATCACTATGCTCAGTTTGGATTTTATGGCTAAATAGTATTATTTTAAACAATATATTTTCCTGATTATAAAGTGACACAATGCCAGACACCAGTGGCGCATACCTATAATTCTAGCTAATCAGGAGGCTGAGATCTAAGGATCACAGTTTGAAGCCAGCCTAAGCAAGAAAGTCTGTGAGACTCACCTCCAATTGACCAGCAAAAAGCTGGAAGTGGAGCTGTTGGTTTAAGTGACAGAGCATTAATACTGAACACAAAAGCTCAGGGACAATGCCCAGGCCTGAGTTCAAGCCCCAGGACTGGGACAGACACACAGGCACCCAGAAACGCAGACACACACACACACACACACACACACACACACACACACACACACACACACACACACACACACACACTCAGTGATATATCAGAGAATGGCAAATCATGGGTGGTCACAAGCAAATCCAGAGCACTGCCCGGTTCTTTAAATAAAGTTTTATTGGTACATAGCCACAGCTGTCCATTTGCATCTTGTCTATGGCTGCTTTCATGTTTTGGCAGCTGAGAATGGAGTAAATGGGCTGCGGGCTGCATGACCTACAAAGCTGAGAATAGCTACTATGTGCTGACTCCCCTTTAGAGATGATGACCAGACCAGATTTTGAAAGTGCAATTTAAGGAAAAAAAGCCCTGCAGAAATGGAGGGAGGAAGGAGGAGCAAATGCAGGCACTGGTGCTCAGCAGACACTATGTGAAAAAGGAGCTATGACACTTGTGGGCAGGGACGGGATGGGGGAAACTGAAGGAAAGCAAAGGAAGGGGCGACATTGTCGGAAAAGAATTGCACTTGTTACCTGACTTACAAAATGGTGACCCCCCCCCCCCACAACACCCTAACAACAATGAAATTACATTAAAGAGAGAACCAAGTCCTAATAATCCCCTATCTACAGAGAAACACATTTTGATATGTCTTTTTTTAAGCCAGTTTCTGTAGTGTGAGACTATGTTACATATATGAACAATTGTGTCCTGATTCTTTCCACTTGGCTCTGCTGTTAGTAACTCATCAGGTGGTTATGTTGGTGCTTAGTCCATGAGCCCTGTGGGGCTTAAACTCAGGGCCTGGGATCTGTCCCTGAGCTTTTGCACTTAGGGCTAGTATTCTACCACTTTGAGCCCCAGTGCCACTTCCAGTCTTCCGGTGGTTTCTTAGAGATGAGAGTCTCCTGGACTTTCCTGCCCAGGCTGGCTTTGAATTGCAATTCTCAGATCTCAGCCTCCTGAGTAGCTAGGATTACAGGTGTGAGCCACTGGCACCTGGCCCATTTCTACTTTTAATCATGTGTCTGTGAGATGCCCAGGTGCTTGCCCAGCCCTGGGCTGGGGAAACAGGGGGTTGTTACAAAGTGACTCCTTACAAAATGGGAGTAGCCTTCCTTTCCGCTCCTTTTCTGCCATGAAGTTAAAGAGACAATCAATCACCTGTGAAACGAAGTACAGAAGACTGCAGGGTGAGTCACCTTGCCCCCTGGGGTAACAGCATGGAGCCAGTGGAGTCTGGCCGGGCAGGGGTGTGCCCATGACTTACAAGTTACAAGCCTCAGCCCAAAGTTGGGATTCACCTGGGTTTTGTGGCTGCATAGGGGTGTGTGTGTGTGTGTGTGTGTGTGTGTGTGTGTGTTTACATAGGGGTTTTAAATAATTTTTTCATGTAAAATATAAAAATAAATTTAAAAAGAACTAAAAAACCCTTTTTATTCTGGAAACTTCCAAATGCACACAAAATCAAGAGCCTCATAGGACAGACCTTCACATGGCTACCATCATGCTTCATAGCTCTCTAACTATATTTGTCATCAAGCCTCCATAGTCTAAGATGCGGGATTCCAGTGAGTCCATCCGTCAGTCCTCAGCCTCGGAAGGCTGTGTTGGAGGAGGTGGGGAGAAGAGGGCCTTCCAGGCAGAAGAACAACATAAGCACAGGTCCAGGCACTATGGCTGCTCTGTGCTTGGTAGAAAAGAAGTGCGAATTATGGAATTGCTATTTTCCAAATCTGTTGGCGTGGCCTAGGCCTGCAAACAAGAAGCTGAAGGGAAGGGGACTAAGTTTTCCTTTTCTCTTGGGCTTCTTGGAACTCCAAACCTGGCTCTCTAGCTAAGGCCGTTGAGTTCTAGCTCGTTGTGGTTTAGGTGTATCTTCTCCTCAGCAGGGCAGATCACCTTAGGGACAGAGCAGTTGAGCCATCTGACGCAATCTAGATTTGAGTCAGTCCCTCTGGCCTCTGCAGCTGGACAGGCATAAGCTGAGATTGGCTCTAGGCCATTGAGACAATGACGATTACCTTCCTACTAAGGGTTCTGCTATAGGAGGGACAGTGACTGGCCACTGGGCCCTGCCCTGGGCCCTCGGGTTTAATAGGACCTGGGAGTTATACCACGCCCACAGAACCAATGCCCCGCTCCTTGCCTGCTCCACGGGCTGAGGACGGGCACATACCACAGCAAGGCTGCGAAACTGCGGGAGCGCCTGTCGGTTCTGCAGGAAAGCACAGCACTAATAGATGGGAAGACAGAAGCAGAAGGGGTGGTTTCCACTGCGGCACTGTCTGGGCCAGCCCGCGTGGGCTTCACAGGGCCCAGATGGGTCGGGGGGCAGGAGGAGGGGCCCTGAGGGCTGAGTTCAGACCTCCCTGGGCCATGCCCAGCAGCCCGGGCTGTCCCAGCCGCTCCTCTGCAGCTCTCGGCCCACCGTTAAAATGGGGTTCCCACTGTTAAAATGGGGTTCTCACTGTTAAAATGGGGTTCCCATTGTGGGGGTGTGGGTGGGGGCATGGTCTGAGGGCTGCACTTTTTTTTTTGGCCAGTCCGGAGGCTTGAACTCAGGGCTTGGGCACTGTCCCTCAGCCTCTCTGTGCTCAAGACTAGCACTCTACCACTTGAGCCACAGCGGCACTTCCAGCTTTTTCTGCTTATGTGGTAGTGAGGAATGGAACCCAGGGCTTCATGCATGCTAGGCAAGCACTCTGCCACTGAGCCACCTTCCCAGCCCTGCACTGGCTTCTGAGAACGTTTATTCATCCATCTTCCAGGGCACCCCACCCGCTTGTGCTCCTGATCCCTGAGCCTAAGTCCAGAGGGAAAGAAGGCAAAGGGAAAGGGAGGTGAGCCATGAAGGGGAGGCTGACGAAGAGGCTGAATAGGAAGGCCAAGATCACCTCAGCCTCTGTCCTGCCTGCCTGCTTCTCTACACCTTCCTCCCTGGCCAGCCCATCTTCCTCATCCTCACCCATGCTGGGGTGAAGGCCGGCCCACTTGGCCTTTGTCTGGTCTTCTAAGGGAGGCTCATGCCATGGGAGAGGTGGAGATGGTGGGAGGTGCAGACTTTCCTGGGGGATGCGCTAGGCTGGCTCACAGCTGACTGAGGGGGTGGGGTGGGGCCTGCACTAGGGATGCTGAGCCTGGGGACGAGGCAGGGGAGGCCCTGCCCCAAACCACTCCTTTCAGAGTGTCCCTACCTGTGCAGATCACTCTGGGGAGAGGGGCTTATTGGGTGCCCTTCCTGGGCAGACACTGGCTACCCACTGTCCAGACTCTTGGGGCAAGGGCTGGGGCTGGGTGGGGAGA